CAATCCACAAAAAAACGTAAAATTAAAGAAAGCGCACTAATTTTACTAAATCAAAATAATTGTGTTGCTTCATGTTCATTTAATTTAAGTCATACGTGGTTGCCTATGCTGAAATCTGAAGTAAACCAGATAAACATACACCCAAATTAATTGTATACCAAAATTATTAATTAACATTACCTTTACTAATTTAAACAATGAGATTAAGTCAAAGTCACATAACTGACAATTTGCACAGACGAATTTTCATATACTGTATTATCCTACTATTGTTACACAATTTATTAACATACTCTTTTTTAGGTTAATTTAGGTTCTTTTGATAACGATAGCAGAAAATAGCTATCGAAACGTCAAAGAAATTTTTGAGGTGAAATACCCAAAAAGAACATTTAGGAATGTTTTCCGGGCTTTGAAGCCGTGGTCTATCGGAATATCTTCCGGACGTTTCGTCCACAACTGCGGTGGACATTTTCAAAGGCCTGAGAAGAGTAAATATAAGAAGTAAATATATAATATATGAAAATATAAAAATATAATCCCACTAAGACTGAGTCGGAAAGCACGGGAGATCACTTCGCCCACTGCCTCATCGCTTTTGAAAATGTCCACCGCAGTTGTGGACGAAACGTCAGGAGGAAAGCCCGGAAAACATTCCTAAATGTAATTTAACCGGCCGTGAAAGCCTTCCTAGTCTGATACCCAAAAAGAAGTTTGTAAAAAAATGAATCCGCCTCAACAATATAGAACTTATCTACAACCAAGGCATGTTGTTTGCTGTGTTTCTTGTGGGCGTTCCATTGGGGCAAGCGCCCTTTTAATGGGGCATTTTCCTTTAGGATGCCGGAGAACTGTGGAACTGTGCAGGCAGCAGCTTGCATGCGCTGGCGCTCAAGCCCCGGACCGAAGTTTCGGTGAGTTTGTTTACCTGTTGAGCCTGCCTTCTCTTCATTGCCGCTTTTCCCCAATTAGCACTCCTCCAGCCCGATGATCTCGCCTGGAAGTAGTCCGAGATTCGTGCGCAGGAATCCTCCAGGTACCATCATAGTGCCCACTGCTGTCCCGCCCCCACTACCGCCCCGGAAAAGTTCACCAACCCAAGAACTCCCACCGATCCCCACAACGTCATCCTCGCAGGCGTTTCGCAATGGAAGCCCCAATATCCATGCAGGTTTGAGCGAAACACAATCACAATCGGTAACGAACCTAACCAGTCACCAGCCGGTTGAGGTGCAACTGCCGAAGAGCAGCTCTATGTTGGAGATGCGCCATTCTGAGTCGGGAGGAGGCGGGCCGGTTGAGTTGAGCACGCCCGAAACGATCGTCGGTCTGGTCGTTTCAAATTGTGATAATAATGTTATCGATACGAGCAAAACGCCGCCCAGACATCTGAGTTGCCCGTCGAACCGCACGGCGCGCAAACCCGCACCCCCAAAATCCCACACCACCCCGAACATCAGCAGCAGCAAGCCGTACGAGAATATCGAGGTGGAGCTGCGCCATCTGAAGAACAAGAAGCTGGCGAATCCACTCGAGCGCGAAGCGAGTGTTCCGTACGAAAACATCAACATAAACTATATCAAAAAACTGGTTAGCGAAGGCTACTCTAGAGACTCAGTAATAAGGGCTTTGGGTATAACGGGAAATAACGTAGATATGGCTTGTGATATTTTACACGAATTCGGTACAAAATTAGGATAGCAAGTAGCCTTAGCGGGGCCCCTCGATTTTAATTTACTCATTTTCACTCAGTTCCACTAATTGAATAATTGCCAGCGACTGAAAGGGAAAAAGCGTTTCTAAACTTGATGGACGCTGTTTTCTACCATGGAATCCAGCGTATCGGATTGGGGATGAAAAGGATCAATTTTCGCCTACCGATTGAACCAAATGCAATAAAATTAGAGTACGAAAATCAATTTTTTTAGATCTTTTCGTCGTCTGGTTCAATGTTTTTCTTTTTCGTGCAACTTTTCTCAGAAATAAACCATAATTACTGTACAAAGTGTTCCTGAGTATGAATATGTGCATGCAGAAAAGGGATTTTTTAGCTTTTTGTGGCCGAAATTTCATATACATACAGTGTGGGCCTGCAGCTAAAGGGATAGAGAAAACTTTCGATTCTGCACGGGCTGAAGCCTAATTTTCATTCCTAATGCGCTCGGGGATTCTAAGATTTTTTTTCTAGAGCCGCCTGAAAGTCCGGAAAAATTAATGAAAATTGAAGAACTTGCCAGAAAAGTCTTTCTTGGATTCACCGAGCGAATCGCCAATGAAAATGAGGTCGCGCAGAACTGAAAATTTTCCCATATCGCTGCAACTAAAGCAGACACACTGTGTATGAAATTTCAATCATCAAACTCCGGTGGTTGCTTCGAGCAAGGCGCCTCTGAAGATGCCAGCCGCTCGTGCATGCGAAACGTCAGCAAGAAATTATTTTCCACCCACCGGTTTTCCTTCCATGCGATTATATTCTTTTCCTTCCTGGGTTTCAGTCAATCGTTTATTTCATTACGTTTCGGCGAGACAACAGCGCCATCATCAGATTTAAAACGCATACAAACTCATAATTGGTAAACATTGCATTCTTTTAGGTCTTTGCTGTCTTTAAACCTTAAATTCGTTTCCTTCCTGCGTCTCAAAGTGTGA